AGATACCTAAGTCTTTTCTTTCCTCTGAAAAAAAAAAAAAAAGGCATGTAAAGTTACAGCTAACTTTAGTTGCATTTCTGCTTCAAAGTAGTAATCCTTCCTTCACACTTAAAACTTCTTCTAGAGAGTCTTCAAAAGAATCTTCACCAGGAAAAACTGGTAGAATAACAATTTCGTTTTCCATTAGAGAACATACTTTTACAACTTCTACTTTAAAAATCACGCAGGATAACAACTCTATGGCAATTAAGTCTGGCAGCTCACAATTAAATTGCTAGAAGACATCACAGCTTCTCAAAACTCTTATTTCAGCCTATTTTAATGTAAGATACTTGACACCTTCAGTAGGTTACAGCTTTTTTTAAACCAATATCCTCTACTGGTAAGAATTCAACCATGTCATGAACAAAGATGCTTTATGCTGAAGCACTTCTATCCCTACCTGTGGAAGTAGCTGTGACAGCACAAATACTTCCATGCCAATATAAATGTGTACAGATTCTCTGCAGCATGCTGCTTTAGCTATACTCCGATTGAGTTAAATGTTAAAATTTTCTAGGCTTAGTGACAACAATATTTTACTTCATGGTAGCTGATCCATCATAGCTGTCGGTGTGCATGCTCTTAGCCTGTGGCAAAGGCAGGATAATTTGAGTTGTTTTGCCCTGCTTCATGAAAACTAAGATGACTCAAATTACTTTGAGCTTGCTTCAGGGGAAGCTCACACACTTGTACAGTTATAATGGATCAACTGACGTGTAGTAAAAGATTGGTGGGGCTAAGCCCAGTGCTGAAACAGAGCAAAAGCCCTTTTTTCTTTCTCCCCCCTGGCACTTAATACAAGGGCCAAACCTAACTTGAGCCTTTGAGAGTTACAACACACGAGTGAACAGATGAATGAAAAACAACAACTAAAAAGCTCCTACATCTTGCAGTCTTCTTTGAGAGCAACGTTAGCCAAAGAGTAACTTGAATACAGAGATGAAGATCTGGACAGAGTTACTCAGTTATCTCTGCTTCAAACTACTCTGGGTTTGTCAGCTTTGCTTATTCTCCTCTTCTTCCTTCATCACCTTGTCCTTCCCTTTCCTATTCCAGTCCCAGTCTGCTTAAACTACAAATCCCTGCTTTAGCAGTCTCAGTGAGCCTTTTTTCAAAACAGGTAAGTCTTCAAGATTTGTCCATCAATGGTGCCTGTAGCACCCGCATACTTTACATTTGTACACTGAATGAATTACGATGGTATTTCTCTTTTCCATCTGCATTAAGCAAAACTAGGATTACGATTACCTCATGTAACAGCCATGCACTGACACTAAACCCTAACCCTATTTCAGTTTTCTCTCAGTTATTCTGAGAGTGCTCAAATCAAACCCAAATTTTGATTTATTTTTCACATAGATGTTGAGGCGCTTTCAACTACTATAATCCAAACATTACTGTAAGCCCACCCAACATATTCAAATTGCCCAGCATTAAAATATATACCTATTGCCAGTGAAGTCTTACTGGTTAACACAACAAGACTTTCACAAATGAAACTATTAAGAAAAGAATTAAAAGTATCCTCTAGTCATTATGAATATGGCCATCTGACATTACTGTGTATGTCCTTTGGTACCTACTTGAACAGCATGTACTCCATGGCACATTCTGAACACAACTGCACCATAATCTGTATCACTTCCAACATTACTCCTTATTAACCGGGAATAGACGAGAATATTAATTGTTCATATCTATTACAAGTACTGTAGAGAAGTCCTATCATGTCAGACTACGCAGGAAACTGTCAATGCCATTAGAAATTCTCCTTGAAAACTGATACCGCAGAATGTGTCAGTACTTTCTGATGATGTCAGATGAGAAACTGCAGCAACAGCTAAGAGCAGAGTAGTGCTCCCTCGAGATGCCAGCTTTGGCAAGATGTACTGAAATGCTGCAAGAATGTTTCTGAAATTGAGATTACTGAAATGTAATATCTCTTTTTGAAAACTTTACTGCACACAATTCATCAAGCCAAAGCTGCAGTTCCAGGAAGAACAGACCATCTGTTTTCCTTTGGACTTCTTTTTTTAAAGCTCACCTTTAATCAATTTTAAGTTTTTTTTCATACACTGGAATGCAAAGACTTAATAACTTAAGAACTGGATAAATGACTCAATGTGTCTCCTTGAAATACTGAATCCTCTGATTTTAATTATAATTAACTAGAAAATAACTGCCTACTTGTAATACAGACTCATTAAATCTGATATCTTTAAACTTTTAACCCACAAAGGGGGCAACAAGAACTCTGGATCTATTTCCATTACCAGCTCTGCCCTTCACCTACCTTATATGCTACTTGAAGAATCCTAACCTCTCACAGACCTATTTTTACACCCTAAGTAGGAAACTACTTATGACAACAGAAGTGCTATGCTGAATACTGTCAAGGTTTTCAGAAACATGGAAACAAGAGGGTTGTAATATAAACCTTATCTTATACACAAGTTTAAATAAAATTCTTGTTTAAAAAAGATCAGAATCTTGTTTGAAAGATCAGAAAAAAATGCATGAAAGCAATACAGTATATTCATTCAAATATTTCTCAAACTCAAAGCAAAATTACCATTAGGTTAAGATTTATTAAAATTTATGTTTAGCCAATGTATCAAAGTTCCCTAATCCTATACTTTTAACTATGTATAATTAATCCATATAAATACATGAAAAGATAAAACTGAAAACAGCTGGTTGAATTTCCACTGATATTATGTCTTAAATTATCAACATCTGAAAGTATTGATTACACATGCAGTCCACTGAAACTGTCTGGTTGATTTCCAAGTGATCTTGCTTTTACAAGCTCATAAAATAAAATTTCTAGGTAAAAACCACAGGACATAATCTAAAAACCAAACCCAAAACCTGACAAACACTTATTAAAGGTGTATCACATAATACAGCAGAGCTGAGAGTGGTAAGAGAAATTCTACTGTTACTGCTGACATGCAGGGTTGTCCTCTTTAGACACCCTTTTCTGCGGTGATACTGCCCCAACAAACTTCATACAGATTCATCTTTTTCCATCAATCTTCAGTTAATCCAAGAGTCTCACTTTCCAATGGTCCCCTCATTATGTGGCTATACAGAATATTTTATTTTTGCAAGGAACTGCCACTCAAAAGAGCCTGTCTGAACACAGAGACATGTATTTCTAAGTCTTCCTTTTAGATACAGTATGTTAAAACAGAAGCTTATCTCTCATAATTTTAGAGCATCAAATCATGGTTTGAGTGAAGGACGTAAGTTTGGCTGAAATCCCTTCCTGTGATTAAAAACACAACATTAACAGTTTACTGAAAGATAAAGTTTTAATTCACAACATTACAACCAAAGTCCTCAAAGCCCTATCTACTGCAGACAGTGCTTGGGGATCTGGCATTGAAAGGAGTGGGTTACAGCACTACAGATCCAGACAGCCACTCCACTTTATCACCAGAAATGTTCATCCTGGAATGCAAACAACAGGAGTAAATGTCTGCCTGTGCCACTTCGACATTACAGCCCACAAAACACAGTATGAGCCAAGAATTTTGTTAGCGGCTTAAGCTACCATATCACGAACAAAGAGGGCATGATGGTCTGCTAATATTGACCTGCCACAGATCCATCTGCCTGAGTCTACACACCAAATCTATTAGATGTGCCCGGGGTATGCAGAGAAATGAGAATGGAATTTGGGGGGAAAAAAAAAAAAAAGATAATCAACCTCTAAAAACTCCTAACACCCTTTCAGGAATCAAATTTTGCCAAGCATAACTTAGTATCCAGGCTATTGGAGCTAACCTTCCAATTTTATTAAAGGTATTAACAAGCATACATACAAATATTTTGCTAATAACAAAATATATGCTGCTTTTGAAGAGGTAAATCTATGACTCTTCTATACTATACTGCTGATTTAATCTTCCATCATTTTGCTTTAAAAAGTTGCATACTCAGCTGATTACAAGATTTCAAAACATCTCTGCTGTGTTACAAAGATACAACATTTATCTAAATATGTATTTTCTCATTTCCTGTCATGTTAAAAGAGATGTCTTTTGTCAAGTAAAATTGACCTTAATGTTTGGCCACTAGGGAGAAAAACAAAAAATCATTACCTAGTTGCAGCTCTTACTAAAGGCCCAGCAAGTGAATGTAATACAGTGCAACAGTACGAGAGTTCCTCAGTATGGAATCCTGCCAAAATTATTTGTTCAGATAAATGGCCTGACAAAAGGGAACCATAAATAAGGTTACTCTTTCGGCATCATAAAGTTGACGCATATCCTGCCCAAGCTAGTTTTGTATAAAACAGCAAATAAATCTAAGAGATAAATAAAATGCAGAGATGTTTTTATTTCAGATAAGTCTGCCTATTTATTCAGAAACCATTTGCACGACAATTTTTGGCCTATCTGAAACGCTTTCTCTGAGTATGTACAACTCAGACCTGTTTCCAGCCTACATTACTATAAATCCTGATTATTTCATATCCTGCACAGCATATTTTGCATAGCCAAGTTCAATTTAAAACTAGTTCCTACGATCAACCAACAACTTTACAATTGCCTACAGAGTTTTTTTTGTTAATCTTCACAATAGTATACACTGGATAATGAAGAAAGAAGCTTGATGAGAGCATGTGCAAGGTGGGGTGAAAGAGCACAAAAAACACAGTGTTGAAAGAGACTTTGAAAAATGCTTTCAGTACTTCAAGCAGAAATATTTTTACCTACAAGCAACAACAGAAGCACGTGTAGTATCTTTAAAAAGAAAAGCTTAAGCTTGTAGTCCAAGCATCCTCTGGAGATTTAAGGTTTAATCGCTCAACACGCCACATATCTTACACAAGTGTTTTTCAAAATACTGAAAAAGAATTTAAACCTACGTCATTTAACAGGTTATGAACAGTGCAGGGCATCATTTAAACAGATCTTCCTTTCAAATTAAAGGGTTTAGTGACATACCAAATCCTGGAATGCTTTTGAGACTGGATTTGAGACAGATTTTTTCAAGTCTGAGGTAGCTGTATCGCAGCAGGCAGTTCCACAGGAACATCCAGTCCATTCGTGTGCGATGGTTCATGATAATGACACTCCTTTCTCCAGGAACAAATCCGTCTCCAGTGACAACCACCTTGGCACCAAACACCATCTCCAGCAAGGCCTAGAAATATTATCTCCGTATTATGGCTTTACTCACAAAAGAAAAGCATCAGCCTATTAGCAATAAAAATTAATTTGAATTGTATAATTTCACTTATTCACTCATATCATCACTGGTAAACAAACTTCTGACTGTTCTCTGATAAAGCAGCCAGCTTTCCCACAGTAATAGCTGTTTAATGGAAGCGGAAACAACAATTAAATAGCATTTCTTAAAAAGCACTCCATTAAAATCGCTGCTTTAAACTTACCGTTCCCTGTTCTTCCAAGAATCCTAACACATAAGAATATAAGTGAGTCAGTATGGGTTATAACTCGGTAGGTAATCTAAGGAGAGACTGGCTGCACAAATAATCTATTGCTTAATATTCTCAGGGTTTGGGAAGGTATCAGAAGCTGCCTTGCTTTCTGCTTGGGGCCAAATGGTTAACATGTTTCACTCCTCCCAAAGCACAGAATAAGCCTCAAACTTGGAAGGACACAGACATGAGCCTGGGCAAACAGTTGTTTCCATTTTGCCTGAAGAGCCAGTGATGCCAGAAGGTCACGTAAAAAGCGTGTTCCTTGCTTTACCTGCTACATGTGGTTGTGAAGGGCTAAGTTATAAAGCATAGGTCAGTGGTTTATCAGAAGGAAAGCGCAGGCAAGAGCTACACAGTATGTTTAACAGGGCCTGGTTTCATAACCTGGACAGTCAGACCATAAGCACATAACTAGACTAGTTGTAGTAACTATAACTCTAGAGCCCAACAAGCATGCTCTGGCCACATTCACACCTTATCCAAATTGCCCACCGAAAAAGGTTTCTGATCCATGACCATTCCCAAATCATGCAGGGAAGTGTATGGGGGAGTGCTGGTTGGTTACAGCAAAAGACCAGGACTAGGCAAAGAATTAAAAAATATGGATGACTGAACCTGCAACCTTTTAATGCCTAGTGGAGACACAGTGGAAAGGTACAAAATCCCAAGAAACAGATGCAGACAACAGACATTACCTAGAGGTTTGACTTGAGTCCCCTAAGGTCAGGGTCACTGGCAGGACACTATCCAACTCAGTTAGCACAGAAAAACAAAACAGCAAAACACAGTTGGACATCTAGAGGAACAAACTTACCCTTTAGCCCTAACATAAAAAGCACTTCAAATTACCTCCTTACCTAATCTTCCCCATTCTTCCTCTAAAAAGTATAGAAAAAGAACAAAGACTGGGGATTTAAACAGAGCTCCATAAATTAAAACAACTCTCTGTTCTGTTCATATTTCTGCTAAATCTGTGCCAAAGAACATAAGTTTCCAGGTTAAGTCACCTGTAAAACTAGAATGACATTTTCACAATTGCAAATGGCTTGAGATCTTACAATGAAAAGCATTACATTGGCCAAGTATTTATAATATTAATAAGTCATCTCACTGTAATTCCAGAATAGGTGTTGCTACCAAGAGAACTATGGGCCACTGCAAGAGTGGTACAGGCAGTAAAGCTCAGAATGGCAAAGATACCTTCTTTTCAGAAAGAAGAAAAGCAGCCTTTTTTGGGTAGTTTAATAAGAATCATATTACATATTTAAGATCTAGTTAAACATAATAACGAATGACTACCCTGTTCTACATACTCTAACCCTAATATAAGCCAAACTAAACTGAAACAGTTAAGACCCACCTCACTGTCCTGTCCTGCTGAGTCTTCTAGAGAGGAAATTAAATGGGATAGCAGAGTGAGGAAGGTGGAAATTTCTTACATCGCAGAGGTCAGGGTCAGAGTTTCCCTGCTGAAGTCCAACTGGTACAACAGCACTTTATTTATTGTTTGGAGACACAAACCAAGAACCTGCTTTTCCTGACCAAGAATGGATTAAGTATAAGGACAGAAAACTAAAGCAGACAATGTCAGAGCCTCAAAAAGGTTGGGTGCAAAATCTTTTTGAGTCTCCTTTTCTGATATGTAATAGGATAAAACTTCTTTTATGCCACAAGATATATACTTCTTCATACCAATATGGCATTTTACTCCAGAAAGTGAAACAAATCTTCAATGGTCTAGAGAAACCAAGTCCCTTGGCTTTCATAAAACAGATAAAAAAAGATCCCCTCCCATTCATACCGCCTTTCCTCTGGAACAATTCAGCAAAGAGCTTTATTACTGATTTCCAAACTCATATGGTTATAAAGTTGATAAAGGTGAAGTTTAAGTTTTTTACTTGAAACCATTTATCTGTAATTCAACTACAATGACTAAATTCTAAGAGGATTAAGTAACAGAATCATGAAGGTTGGCAACAGTGTACAAGACAGTGGATAATTTTCCTAATGAGATAATTGGAGTAAAGTCTAAAGAAACAGTTTACAAGACTACTCATTTAGGAAGTTGGTAATTAAAAAAAAAAAAAAACCTTCTGTTTACTAGTATTTCACCTACTCTTCTCTGCATCTGAGTGACATTGGATGATGATGTCACAAAAAGGCCTTTTCGAGCATAAAATTAAGCCTTAGTTTACATGTAAATTAAACTGTGGAAGAAGAGAGGGACTGTAAACAGGCACACAGTTCGCAACACTAAGCTAAAACCCAAGTTTTCACAGACGATAAGCGTGTTTGGACCTGTTTTGACAAAAGCATAAATAATTTTTTAAAAAAATAAAATCAAAAGTGTTAGTGGGCAAATTAAATTGTGGGATTATAGACAGTTGCCCAGAACTTGGCTCAAACTGCAGCTTACCACTGGGAGCGTGAGCCAAGTGGCCACGATGCAGTCAGTGATCCAGCGGTACCAGGCCGGTGAGATGAACATCAAAGGTAGAAAAGGACCAAGCATGAATATACTTCCAAAGAAACTTCCCAAGAACAGTGCAAGTACAAAGTATATCCCTTTCCATGACACCATGGCTCTGAAAAAGAAAGTTGGCATTACGTTAGAGAGACAAACTGAAATTATATAATTCTTCAAGTCTGTAAGCCCAGTTTGAGGTAATATTTCCCCTTTTTTTCCACGGCTAACAACACATGATGACAGTAAACACAATCAAAATGTTCTACTTCACAGGCAGCAGTAAGGAAAGGACTTCATAAACACAGTGATTTGTAAGGTGAATTGGGACATTAAAGGGGCCATAAAAGTATCGGCTACATCATAATTTCCTCCACTTATCACAATATGTAGTTACACTCAAAAATTCTCAGCAAGCTATTTTTATTATCCAAAGGTACAAAAGAGCTATATAAGAGAACACCAGCTACATTAAACTTTCCAGCCATTATAGTTGTCATTGATGAAGTACTAATGTTACCATTTTCTAAAGACAGGAAACTTTGCTAAACATAGCGTTGCAGAAACTCATCTTCCCCAGCTAACAAGGGTCTATGTGTGACCTCCATCACAAACCACTCAAACCCGATGAGCCTGACCAGCCATTTCAAATTCATGCCAACAGGGCAGGCAAGCAGTGGCTGAAGCCTCCCAGTCCAGCCTGGCTTAGAGAACTCATCACTTTTAGAAGTCTGACGTACTTCAACTGTCCTTATCAGTTATTTTCCAACTTACTGCACCAGAAAGCCAACAGCCTTTGGTTTTCAAGGCAGTAGTCTAGACTTGAAATATTTCAGTGTCTGTGCTATCAGCTACATCCCTTATTATAAACTGAAATGTACAGTACACTGAGCTTCTTAATGCATTACGGCAGAACACTCAGCAATCCTCCAAGCATTTGTAATAGCTACAAGCTTTCACAATTTAGCAACTACTACCAGCTATGACAAAGCAAATGTGGAAATATCAATTCTCTAAATTAGGGTCCAAAAATAGACTGTTTTCATCTATTTAGGACTCAGTCAATTGTTTATAAAATCAAAGGTTAAGCAGAAGTCACTTTTTAGTCACTTTACTGAATTCCTTTTTTTGACAGGCTATTTTAAAAATTATAAGAGCTCAGTTAGACAGGACTTCAGGACAAGAAAAACAGGAAGCTGGTGGTTTTAACTTTAAAATGAGCAATGGAAAAGCAGTCCATTAAGCCTTATGTACTGTAACATACATGATTTATCTCAAGCATGGTTTTGTACAATGTCCACAGCAATAATGTTTGCACAGGAAAGTATTTGAAAGTCAAGAAATGGCAACGCTAGTGTTGCTAGCACACAAACTTGTTTCTGCTACTTCATGTTGACAAGTAACAAGGAAGTAGCTCTATTTTGAGATACTTTTGGGTTTAAACAATTTCCTAAACCTCACAATATTTGGAAAAAGGCCGAGAGAAGAGGCCACGCAAATTTGTTAACGCAAGAAGGATATAGGGAGCTGTATTTAACTCTATTTTCTCAGCACAGTAAAACAAGTATTAAATACAAATGTTTGCTGACAGTTACATCAGAAAGATTTTAACACAATGAAATTTGAATTCAAACAAATACATATTATTTACATCCTGGAGTACAGAGCCCTTGCTTTTCTACCAAAAGCAGGAACTAAACAACCATATGTCTGCACATATGCACCAGCAGGACCAATTCTGACACATCAAGGGACCCTTGAAGAGCAACGCACTGAAGTAACAACATTCCAGCTGCCTTGTTGTATTTGTTATTGCAAACCTCTGTGGGGAAAGATCAAAATAAAGGCAGAAGAGGACAAAAAAAAGCCCCCAAAACACAAACACAAAGAAAATCAGAAACCGTAGAAAGGGAATAAAATCCCCAAACATTAGTTGCAGCAAGACCAGAAGAAAAAGCCTTCTCCTGACATCAAGATTTGAGACCTACTGCAAAAGGTAGCAGAGAGGTTTAAAATTCAATATGCTTGACCTAATCGTGCATTTTTTGAGGAACACACTGCAAACCAACTGTAAACATGTAGGCACAGTTGCTCTGAGGTACATGGTGTGATTCTTGGCGTGTCCTGTGCAGGGCCAGGAGTTGGACTCGATGGTCCTGATGGGTGCCTTCCAACTCAGGATAATCTATGATTCTATGAAAGACCACTAGCAGACAGAGAATACAAGTTTTTTAAGCTTTAGCCACCTACTCTGGTCCTCTGCAAGGCTGCTCAGAGCCTCTGGGCACCGGTCAGATGCAATGACCTTCCCCAGGCAGACACCCTGGCTCCAACAGGCCGCGGACAACACGGACATGATGCTCCAGTCCCAAATACCTGAGTACTGCACAAGGTAACCACAAAGCTAATGAGACGTCTCTCTGTCATCCTTCTAAACTCCTAGGAAAGCAATGTGGGTCACTTATTTACAGGCTGTCCTTTTCACAGTTTACACTGGTCCTTTCCTCAAAGTATTGCACAGAACCAAAGATTTAAGGAAAAAAAATTTTTTTTTTTTAATGTGAAAGACTGTCTCATAAACATTTTTTGTTTGTCTGTTTTAGTTGAAGGTATCTGAGTTATGGAAAAGACCTGATGAAGTTTTGAATTTTCTCTTCTTCAACTAGCACTCCAGCAGTACTTTCTTTATCATTACAGTATATACATATGTGAGTTATACTGCATTCCAGCAGGCTGAACACTGTGGTGTTTATTTCTAGACACAAAAGATACCATGTGTGTTTTCAATTGATGCCATTTATCACTCTTGAAGCCAAATTTTTAGTGTGATATATACCACATTTTGCTTATTGCTTCTATATAATCCATTATAGATCTTTACACATGTCCATATGCATATATCTAAAATAATGGGTAGACTCTGCCTCTGAATTACCTCCACCACACAATAAAGCACCTACCATGCTAAGAGGTATGAGAACAGAAAAACAACTCCCTCTGAATGAATTTGAGCAAAACTGCGAGCTGAGAAGCCTGTGATAATGTGAAGAACTTACAGCAAAGAGTAACCATCCAGCTGGCTTTCTGAAAACAGTGGAGCAAGCTCATTTTTGTAAAAAGGTCAAACTGTTAATACACTCAACCCATTTGTTTTCATTTGTGCGTTCACATGGTGGAGTTACAGTCTGGACAATAGTTTACATGATTTAAAATACATCTGCCTACATTTAGAAACATTTACATATACTCTAATTTTAGCCAAGACTCGAGAATGGGTAGTCATCACCCAAGGTGCTGCTGGGTGCCAAGCGCACATGCCCTGCCCTGGCCAGCAGAAGTCCTGCTGTGCCCAGGGAAGGTTGAGAGGAGGCTGAAGCCCCAGGATGGATTTGACACACCCACCAGACCAGGTGCACTGCTGAAGCCACGTGAGCTCTCTAATTCAGGTGGTGAACAGAGAAAAGCAGCTCCTTGGCTGGGGGTTCAGTGCCCAAGTTTGTAAACTGTGCAGAGCTAGCTCTGGGCAGACAGAAGAGTCAGTCACAACTTTGTGTCCTACCAAAGCTTCAGTACAAGTTTGGGAATTGCCCCATCTCTGAAGCAGTGCAGCCATGTTCACGCAGCGCTGCAACTTGCCTAACAAACTCTCCCCTGCCTGTCTCAACTCTGTATCCTCACCTTTTTCTCTTTCCAATAGCAATCCTTCTCCCAGCCCTGCATCCTACATCGCCCATCCTGACACTACAATACCCCTCCCACAGACCCTCCCCATTCCATCCCCCTGGAATAGCAGCTTGTTTGGGCAGGTGAAGAGCAGCAGGGTCCACAGGGCCCTCCTGGCAAGGGAAGCCGCAGTGCTGAGGACCGCAGGGTTGGCAAGTGGGCTCAGCTGTCGGGTCCTGCTAGGCCAGACCATGCTCTGCACAACCCTGTCAACTCGTGTTGGCACTGCAAGGGCTGCTTACCATTCCAGAAACCTACCACCAAAAACAACAGGGAACTGACTCTATTATCACCCTTTAGCATCCGTCAGCCCCTTAAATACCTACCTTAGAAACAAACTGCCTCTAAGATATGTCAGCCATCCCAAATCTAACATCTGCATTCAACAAGAGAAGTAACAGCTACAAATCAATGCAAAATACATGCCCGCAACTTCAAAACATGATTAAAAAACAGCCAAATAATCTCAAAGCAGAAGGAGTACTTAATGAGGACTTGTAAAATGATCTCAAACAAATGTGAAAAATCTCAAAACAAAGAAAATTGGAGCTGACTCATGTCAGAGATGAGACACCCAAGAAAGGAATTAAAGGATTCAACACGAAGTCTGAACAGAACCCAAGCATTTTTTAAGTACAGAAGTATTCTGTTACTTCTGCTGGCAACTATCTCTTTCTAATCCAGCAATCACTCTCAACACTGGATTTAGCATGTATGGCCTTTATGTATCTTTAAAGCCACTTTCCATTTACTGTGTGGATCAGAGCTGTGGAGGAACACTCGAAATTATTTTACAATTCAGACTGAAAGTTGCAAACAGTGAGAAAGACAGCACCCTCAGACTGGGCTTGTAGTTCCTCATCTATTTCATGGCAGAACTCCAAGTTATTGGGGTACTGTACTTCACATGTTCTTGTTGCCATAGCAGAAGGAAAACATGCTCTGTCTCCAGGTAACTAGAAACAATAATTCTTAAAATACAATTTCTGCTGTCTATTTCAGTTAATTTTAAAAATTCTTGGCTGCAAGGGGACAAATTACTTTCCCAAACAGTTTTTGCAAACTTCATATTTATTAGACTATTTACTTAAAATTATTTCAATATTCTATACAAACAAAATGTTTGCATGGTAACATAAAGCAAATGCACCTTCCTCTGATCGGATTTTGGCTTGTTTTGCTTAACATCTAAATACCTTTATTGAAGGCACAGTTGGAAGGACAGATGAACCGCAGCTTTTTGTGATGATGATTTCAAAAGGTTTTAAACAGCCTGTTCTCTACATTCAAACTTTTTTTTCCACAACTGCTTCTATGGCTTTTAAGTGAGCAAAGGATGCAAAATAAGTTTATCTGCTGAGAAATAAAAAAGTTCTAAACTTAGAGGTCTATCAATTTCAGAGGAGTCAGGACTCACCACAGGGATTCACGTCTCCTTAACAGCTCCTGGCTAATTCAAAGTTCTTGTACAAGCAGGTTAATTTGTCTTCCAGGTTCAATGTAAAACAAGATTTTAACCTCAGCATGGCATTAAGCAATACTACCTGACAAACAGAGCCAGCTGCCTGATAACTAGAGAGATTTTTAAGAGCTTAGTACTATAAGTGAGCAAATCATGTTTTATTATACCACTGAAAAAATAAGAAATGCTCTTCAGTGCCAATAAAACAACAGTGTATTATTACTGGTCAGCAAGTTTCCATTCAATCAGCACAGGCAATAAAACTGTTCATTAGCCTTCAAAAACTGAATGGGGACTTCTAGGCACTGGATTTAATGCTTCCTTCAGTCAATTACCAATGGAAAAGGTAAATGTTATCTTCAATTAAAATCAAGCTGAAACTCACACAGACAAACAATTATGACTTATCTCTAACAGGTCTGCAAAGAAAGCAACCAGTTAACTACAAATTGACTTCACTTACTTCTGCATTTCTTCTAAGCACAGTAAATGAAAGAGGCGAGTTGGAAATTCCAGCTCCCATATTCAACTTAGCAGTCTGAAACATAATTCCCAAATCAGAAGACACAATTTTTAAAACCTTTGACCAGAGTGAAGTGAATTGAACTTCAAGGAGGTAGGCAAGACGGGAACAAAACCTGTCAACTTCCCAGGTGTCTATTAAACAAACCATCAAATGAATGACTCAAACTTTTACTTGTTCACTGTTTTTTAAGGTTCCTAGGCAAAATCATCTAGATAGGAGAGCGAGCAGGCAGAGGGACAGTTCTTCCCAGATTGTGAGGCAAATAAGAAGGGGTCTCAGCAACAACTGAGCAGGTGGCCGAGTGACAAAACATCAGCCAGGCAGACAAAATGTCAATGGAAATGACACATCCAAGCAGAACATCTCAAGTTCAACAAAATCATCATGCTCTTTTATTTGAGTATTTTATGCTGTTCTTCCCTATCAGCATTTAAAAGGAAATTTTTATCAATTCACTCAGAGCAAGAAACTAGTTTCTATGTAGTACCATATTTAAAACGAAATTTGTTCATAGCAAGCTTTTGTAGACTGACTCCACTGTATTTCAAGACCTAAAACTTACCCCATCTCTTCTCACTTGTGCCTCAGTTAAAAGAACTGCAGAAATAGCAGAGGTTATAGGGGAAGCAATGACAGGAGAAAACTGAATTATTAATTGCAGAGATATCCACTCTAATCAGTAGCAATACAGACAAGAAGCTCCATCCGTCTCAGCAGACCTCTCTATGAACTACATTTTACTCCTAATCCTTCTCTTGGGCACTTCAGTATTTTAAGGAGCATACAAATACGGCACAGATCATTATCAGAGAAAAAAATACGAAAAGAAACAGTCACTTGACCATTAAAACCACTTCTTTTTTATTTAGTTCTTGCATTTAAAAACCTTTAAAGATACATGTATCATAAAACAATACAGAATAGGGCAAGAAGAGGTAATAATCATCACAAACCACACCCCTGACCCTCTATAACAGTAGAGCAGATATTAGCTTACACATGCCCAAAATAAAAAGTACAATCCTTAATGAGCAATTTCCGTAAATATTACCAATAAAATATGATTACCGCTGCATCTTACAACTTATTTTGTCTTTTATTTGCCAAGACTTAATCTGACTATTATAATTCAATAAAAAATTTAACAGAATATTGAATTTGCTCTTCCAAGTAATTGTGTCTTTCCAAATGAAAAAACCCTGGCTGAGATCCTTTGCAGTACAGCCTTTAGATACTGCAAGCAGGTAATTCAGTCAGGGTACAAACATCAAATCAGCCTGATGCTTTTTCACCCTCGTTTACCTGTACTCTCTCCACTGTTGCTCCAGACAACCATTAGACCAATAAAGCCTGAATGAGAGCATGAGCTAAGGTATTTGAAATCATTTGTAAGAGGGTATCATGCAATAGCTACAGCTGCTTCCTGAAAAATCCCTATGATTTATGGTAAAGTAGCTTGCTTCCATTCCTTACTATAATCAGAAAATTTAGATGAATTGACAAATTTGAGCTGCTTTAGGAAGAACTGCACAAGATTTTTTTCTACCAAAAGCCATCTCACTTTGTTATTATGCTTATTGCATGGACACAAATAATTTTGAATTAATTCTTCAGATCTTTCCACGCATACAGTAGTTTTCTGCAGTATCCATCAAGTTACTGAGACCTTACAAACTGTACTGAACAGCAACCAAGATAAAAAGAGTGCCCTGGCTGACAAGTCATCAAAAATAGGTTTGGCAGATAAAGAACTGTTGTTTTATTTCCCCCATCCCCTGCCTTTAAATAAAAAGAAACAAAAAAACACCTCCATAACATTGCAACAAACATGGAACAGTGGTCATTTTGGGGCTTTTATTAGATACTTTATGCAAAACCTGCAGGTAAGCTCCAGATCCAGTCTATTTTTCAAAAAAGTTATATGTGATCAACAGCTGGCAAATCTAAGTCCTCCATTTTTCAAAGTCTACAGCAGACCAAAAAGCTGACCAACACTTGGACAACAAATCCAAGTGAAAACTATGAAAAACGCATAAAATGTTCTACTTAGTAATTCAAGATGTTACAAACAAGCCAATAAATCAAATTTATTTTCCCCCTACATAACAGCACCCCAACATCTTAGTTCACAGCTATTCTTCATGAGGAGGGGTGGCACTTATAACTTCAGAAGTACCTATTTCACAATCAAATCCTCAGCCGAGGAACAGAAATAAAGGGCTCCAATGCTGAAGAACAGTTACTCAAATACAAAACTAGTAGTGTTCAGTGGAGTAACTTCAAATCTCTGCCACTGGCATTGAACCAAAAATCACACTCAGGGAAGGGAACATCCACGAAACTTCTAATGGCTTTTCTACCCTCATCTTGACAGAATTTTCTCATCAACTAAACTCAAAAGAAATGCAGAGGTGTATGAACAAAACTCATACAGGCTGTTCAACAAGCTATAAAAACCATTGACCATCACTAACAGCATGACAGAAAGCTTATGCTGACTCATATTATTCAAAGAGTGCAATTACAAAAATACAGAGGGGCGATGTAAAAGCAGACTTCCAGAAGCCCTAAGCAAGCCATTCAACTTGGAAAAAGTTTCACTGAAAGCTCTGTATTTGTGACCATCCTTTACAGAAAGCTCTCTCATTTCTAGAACGGATTACGTTAACCCAAATAATTCATCCTTTTCCAGTTATAATGTGTGGTACAAATGAATTTGATTCTGGGTAATACTACAGCATAGTTGGGTTTTTTTAACCAACACAGCCTTTTGCTTTTAGTATCTTTTATACTATGACAGGCATCACCTGTAAAGCAAAAGCGGTTGCTGAACTCCTTTATACCTTTTCTCAGTAGCATGCTACATGCTGTAAATTTCCAGCACGTCCCCAACAGCAAACTTACTGAAGCCAGTGAGTCTCCACCTGGAATCAACTGCAAGATCAGATTATGCATTTTATCTACTCTCAGAACTGGTAAAAGGTTGAAAAGAAAAACTAGACACTTATCTTCATTTCCCTACCATGTAAGTAATTCTGGTTCTACAGTGCTTGGATGAGAAATGGAGAACACTGTCCACAGACAAATCTGTGTTACTATATTTTTTTTTTAATAATAATGAAGATAAATTGCTATTATCAATGGCATACAACTCAGCCAAGCCTCTGAGCCTTTGCAACTGCCTCAGGCTTTGTAAAATGCATTTTCAAAACAAATATCAAAGAAAAAAAACATTTGCAAATAACATTAAAAATGTTCTAGCCATTTAATTGGAAAATTCCATTTGAGAACTTGAAATTTTGCAGGGCTGCCTTTGTGTCAGGAGTACACAGCACTGAGGCATACTTACACCATCAGCAAGTATCACAAGTTTATAACAACTTTAAAAGCCACATAAATTGTAGTTTTCTACAAGTTGTGTTTACAGGCTGGCTGCTTTCCAAGGTAAGAACAGAAGAAACAATAGATCAGTTACCTGGGAGGCTCTGAAGCAAAAGAAGAAAAATGCAGTAGTTCTGCAGAAAATTGACAAATGTTTCATTCCCACTGGAAGCAGCAAAAACAATTTATTTGCATTTGCTCTATTTCCGGACGTGAAACCCTGTTTTTAATCTATTATGTTTTGATGAACATCAACATCCAAAGCGTTAGAGTCAAAAACCACATGTTGCCAAACTACTGTCCCACTTAACTAATACAATTTCTACTTCAAGACCTAACAGTAAGAGAGGAAGTTATGCTGTGCTTTTCAGAGTGTTCTAGACAACAGCCTTCAAACCTCATTTGCCAAGCTCACCAGCAGGATCAGTCACCAGTGTATTTGGATATTTCTAAGGTTACATTACAAACCATTGCTAAACCCCATCTTCAGCTCTGTAATTCTTTCTTTCCAACAGCCACAATGGGAAGCTTCTCTCCTCTGACAGGACTGCAAAGGGACGTCCCCAGGGCTTCAAGTGGATGCAGGTCTTCACAGCTATTTCCAGCAGAGCACTGCATTTCACAGTGTAAACCATCTGCATGGTGTTGTGCATAGATTCAAACTTTGCCCAGGAAGATGCAGAATTGAGCTGGTCCCTCTGTACTTAAGTTAATAAAGCTCTGTGTCTCAGTAGGGGTCTCAGCCCATGCACAGCAGCAGGATGATGTAGACATGGTGCCTCTTGTGCCAGGGCTACTCAATTGGATTCTGTAAAACCCATAACATTTTTCTTCAAATTTAAATGCTCTCAAAGCCAGAAAATGTTTTACCAATATAGTATAATAAAGCAACTCATGTTCCTTGTTAAAGCTGAATGGCTTTGGTCCCTCAAACACCTAGAAAGACATGAGGGACTGTTTAGTTCTTATTTGCATTTACCTGCAAAGGACACAGTGTTATTGACAAATGAATAACAAAATATTTTGCATGAACATTTATCAAGGTCATTTCAGCCTATAACAAATTACCAGTATAAGCAGCTAAATAAAGTAATTCAATGTTGAGGCAACCAGGGAGTTATCTGCCAGTGCTTACACAATATTTTA